CCAAGAAGCTAGTGCCCATCTTCAATGAAATCTCAACTAACAAAATTAAAGCAAGGACAGTGCAAGGAACCACTAGCATATTTGATAACTGGGAAGTTTCTGGTTCACTGCAGGTCCAAATCCCTATATCTATTGTCAGAGTTCTTAAAGTCTGACCACCAGTGTACATTCTTAAAATTATCTCTAGTATCCTCCAAAACTCTTAGACTTGTAACAGGGGTTCATTTGATGTTTTATTCTTTCTCCCAATCTTCTTTTCCTTAAACTTCTCCTCCCTAATCTCATTTTTCTCTGAATCACCTCTATGAAAGCCTCCTGTTCCTACAGATGGGCAGAATCACAGCCTTTGGGACAGGAGTCCCCTGTGTTTATCCTTTGCTAGTAAAGCAATAAATCTTCTTTTTTCCTTTTTCTCAAAACTGTGTTCTCATTAATGAATTGGCATCAAGGACAAGGACAGAGCTTTAGGCAACAGACTTGCCATTGCACTTACTCTGTGATGAATTTCTGTCTTTGCCTTTGCTGTTTCAATTTATCATGACTACCCACCAAATCCCAATCCTACCTTCATGACTCAGTTTGGATTTCTGATTTATTTTATTTTGAGGAGGAGGGAACTGGGGATTGAACTCAGTGGTGCTTTATCACTGAGCCACATCCCCAGCCATTTTTATTTTTTTATTTTGAAACAAGGTCTCTCTAAATTGTTTAGGGCCTTGCTAAATTGATGAGGCTGGTCTTGAACTTCTGATCCTCCTGCCTCAGCCTCTGAATTGTTGGGATTATAGGCTTGAACCACTGTGCCCAGCTTGGATTTCTGATTAATTCAGCTTGACTTCACCTCTCTTATTTTCTCTAGCTTTTGCTGTTCAAGACATTTCTGGTGGCATTGTCTTGTGTGCCTTTTAAATTTTATGTGTCAGTTTAGGTTTGTATATGCTTAGTTGCTGTTTTTGTTGTCTGAAACATTCCTTTCACACTGGGTTTCATCTTCAAGTCTCACTTGAAATTTTGCCTCCTTGGAGGGGTCTTTCCTGGACATGATGGCTTCAAAAGTCATTATCTTATCTTGTTCCTTGTCTCCGTCCTCTACTGAGATGTAAAATACATGAAAATACTAACCGTGCTGATCCTGTTTGCTCTTTCCAGGGATAGGCACATGACTTTTTGTTCTATTTAGGCCCTTGAGGGATTGGGTGATGCCTGCCAACATGGATTAGCCATGGCTTTTTTTACTTGGTCTTTTGATTCAAATGCTAATCTCTTCAGGCTCAGTGGCACATGCCTGTAATCCTAGAAGTTTGGGAAGCTGAGGCAGGAGGATTGTGAGTTTAATGCCAGCCTCAGCAATTTAGCAAGGCCCTAAGCAATTTAGTGAAACCTCAAAGTAAAAAATAAAAAGCCACATCATAAATTTAATGAGACTAAATCTGGTATGTGACTTTTTTATTTGGGTGAAGATTAAGGGTTGTTCTTGAAATCTTGATCCTTGTGCTTGATGCCAATCCAATAACAAGGTTACAGTTTTGAGAAAAAGGAAAAAGAAGTTTATTCCTTTGCTAGCAAAGGAGAAACACAGGGAATTCCATCCTAGAGTCTGTAATTTTGCACATCAGGAGGAACAGGGGAATTTTAAAGAGGTGATGCAAAGGATACCTTCCGTGTGTTCTCTGTTCTGAGTTATAATTCACTTGTTAATTTAGCAGATAATCATTTTTGAGATCTGATGCCATCTCCAAAGTCTGGATTACCTTGTTCTTGTAGTGGGTGTGAGCTCAAGGACCTATAACTCTGCCCAGGTTGGGGAGAAAGGTAATCTGTTTCTCTGAGGTTAGGGAGGGGAAGAGATTAAGGAGGAGGAGAAAGAGAGGAAGAGAAAGAAACATGTGCCTTTTAAAATAAGTCACAACTTGCATGGTGGCACATGCCTGTAATCCTAGCAACTCAGGAGGCAGACAAGGGAGGATTTTAATTTCGAGACCAGCCTTAGTAACTTAGTGAGGCCCTAAGCAACTTAGCAAGAGCTTGTCTCAAACATTTAAAAATGGACTGGGAATGTGGCTAAAAGGTTAAGTTCCCCTGAGTTCATACCCTAATACCTAAATAAATAAATTGCAGTAGCAGAGAAGCAAGGGCTATATTCAAAGCAAAAAGTGGACTACTGTTACGTTTACTTGTTGTTCGTTATTCTACTTTTTTTAAAACTATTTTTTAGTTATAGATACACTCATCTTTATTTTGTTCATTTATTTTTATGTGGTGCTGAGAAATGAAACTAGTGCCTCACATGTGCGAGGCAAGGGCTCTGTCACTGAGCCACAACCCCAGCCCTGCGTTGTATTTTTAATCAGAGAAAAATATCCTGTATATAAAGCATGAAGGAAGAAAGATTTTTTTTTTCCCAAAACTGTCAGTACCTGACAATGTATTTGAAAAATTGAATAGCAAAGTGTTCCTGAAGCTGCTGAGTCACTAGTTTTGCAGACATAAATATAGAAATGCTGTTATCTTCTTAGCCCTAGACAGCCAAAAGTTCTATAAAAACCCTCTAGTGACATCTATCAGAGTTTGGCTACTTGAGAAACACTGGAAATCCATTTAGCAATAGTTCTTACTACTCAGGATTACCTCAACCAAAGGTCACAGGCTCAGACTTTCTCATTGTCGTCAGTACATTTAAATTCCAAGAGCATAAATATCTTTTAAACTTTAAAGTGCCTGCAAGTCAGCCTCGGAGCTGAGTAATTGGGCTTGCGCCCACTCTGACCAAAGTACTAAAACTAGACATGCACTTTTCCCAAATTTAGAGTGATCTTGGAGAGCAGAAAATAACTTGTTAAATTATTGCCACAAGTAGATAAAAATGAATGAGAAAAACCTGGCTTTGTAAAAAATTCTTGAACCCAATTTGTCGGTAGCCAAACATTTCTACTGTATATTAAACTGTATTTATTTTGACAGGGTGAATGTTTCCATTTGTACTATATAAAATTGTAATGTGGCATAGAACCTGAAGTTATCCTGATTTAATTTTTACTTCTACCTCACTTGCAAATAAAAAAGGAACATTTTAAAAGTGTGATGGTATGAGTCAGTAGGCAGTGGAGAAAACTGGATATCGTGGGTATGACAGTGAACTGATTAGACTTGTAGGAAGGTGTATCTGTTGATGAAGCCTAAGATGATCTTGAGAACAGAAAAGAGACGCAGGAATAAAGATCATATGTTAGTATCAGTAATAAAGAGGGAGGCAACAATTAAAGTTAATATTTTGACAGTAAAATGGAAAGAAAAGAAAAATGCAGATATAAAAATTTTGAAGATAAAATCAGAAGGTGAACAAGTGATTTATGGTGAGGAGGATGAAGGGGCAAGATCGTGACCATTTTTGATCCAAAAGGAAATTAGTGGAAGGTGCCTAACCTGGGAACCACTAAAGTCTAACAGATATTTATTTGACTTGGGACAAAGCTGAAAAGATGATCGAATAAAACTTGCTCTAAGAGTGTCTGACATACTGGAAAAATATGGGCTTTGGATTTTTTGTGCTTATGTGAGATGAGAATTCTAAACAAGATCTAAATAGTGATGTTTACTGTCATAAATACAGTGGTTAGTGATATAGTGAGTATAGTGATAAGACAGAGTACCTTGCCCATCAGAGTTCTGTATAAGGAGTAACAATCATATCATCAGTGCTTTCTCTGTTCCACTTTTTTTAAAACTTATTTTTAAAAATTGTGGAGGGAAAGAAGGCTTAATAAAATAGCAACAATCATCTAATATATCTAAAAAGAAAAATATCATTTTCAGTTTTTAGGTTAAAATGTTGGTGCAGATGTACAGGATAACTACAGGTAGATATTTCGCTCTTAGAACATAGTTCCTATTGCTCATGAACACTCTCTCAAGAGCTATGCTTTCATCATGATATCTGATTCTATTAATAGTACATGTATTTAATTAAGGTCCATTTCTTCCTTACCTCTGGTTGGTTTTTGCCTTTCCACAAATTTTACCTATGTGGAAAGGAGCATAAAAATAAAATTTTTCTCTTCAGTAATGATGCAGAAAATTGCACTAAGTGGAGTGCTCTTTGGGTGTCAGGTTCAGGATGTCCTTGACCTCACATCAGAGACAATGCTTTCAACAACCATCCATTGAGCTCATGGAGCTCCTAATGTGTTATGGACCTCAGGTACAAAGAGGGTTTATAACATGAAAAAGACTTCACGTTCAACCTCGTGGAATAACACATATTTTTTTTCTTGTATACCCAAGTATAACACAGGACCAGTGCTATGATGAGTGTTCTTATTCAAGTGGAGTAATTAATTCTGCTAGAATGGATTTCTATGGAATTTAAGCAATGTACTTTTCTTCATATTCACGTTATCAAGTATTTTAGTTTATATTGCAAATTTGGAATTCAACCTGACTTAATTTTTCTTAACTATAAATCTCAACATTTGCATTATATTCTTTGGAATGCTTTTAACCTTAAACTTACAAAGGAATATAATTATCAACTCAGGTGTTCAGAGTTTGGGGGACGAAATATTTGAATAGATGTGATTTTTAAAGTGGTCCTACATCGTTCATTTAAAAAAATGTATCCATTTTTATGTTTAGGGTTTGTTATAAGCTTGGCCTTTTTAAAGAATGCAAATAATGTGCAAGGTTATTTACTGTGTTTTCAATTTTGTTCTTACTTGTGTGGAAGAAAGAGAAGTAGTGTGTTCTTAAGGGCAAAAAGCAATTCTACACGCAGAGAAACGCAAAGTCTATATAATTTAGGACAAGTTAGTTTATCTATCCTTTAAGCATGCTTTCTGACTGCAAACATCTGATTCTGATAACTGACTATTTACCTTCCAAATATCAGTCTTTATGAGCAGTGTTCTCTCCCTCTCTTGTTCTTTAATTCCACCTTAAAACATGTGCAGAACCCCAAGGAGACCAGCCCACGGTTTAGCCCCGCCTACCAGGGATAAGACTTTCCTGAAGTTCGGGCTGAACTGGGATCCTGACCGAAAATAGAGGCACAGAAAAGCCTGAAGATTCTCATGTAACTCTGGGAACTGTAAGCAATACCTTTACTCTTGCCCTGCTCCACTTCTCTCTCCCACTCTCCTTCGCTGTTAGTCTGTAGTCACTCGGAAGGAAGAAGGGGACGGAGGGGAACCTCATTGCTTTCAAAGGCTGCGTGCCTTTTGCTTTTGAAACGATGCACGGATCAGAAACTTCAGTTTCCTTCTCACCGGGGCAAGTTTGCTTTCCTGGGTGTAAATGCACTGCGGAGTCGAGCGATCAGTTGTTTCCTTCGGTTGGAGCCCGGAAATTTAGCATTTAAGGCAGCAGCGAGGTGGTGTGCGTTTATGGTACACGTGATGCCACTCCGTGGTCCCCGCACTCTAGCCTTGCTCTTTGACAGCCCTGAGGATCCTTAGCAACCGCCTTCATGGACTCATTTAAATTTTATTTGAAAAAAAAAAAAAAAAAGAGTGGTTTTGGATACTTACGCAAAGCATTCCTGGGTATTTCATGTGTTTCAGTGTCACGCCAAAGACAGACAATACTGAAAAATTAAATGTAAACCCACCGGTGTTCTGATTGAATTTTCCCTTGAGTTATTTGACACAGTAGGAAAACAGCTCAAGACTAGATACTTGAAAAGATAGGATCAAGTCCCACAGTTAAATGTTGAGTGTGAAATACTGTTTTAGCAATTTTGTTTCAAGGAAGGAGGAAAAAAGACACTCTTTCTATCTCCTATAACTTCTAATAATTTTAGTCTTAAAAATAATATTTTTTTTCATCACAGACACTAGAACAGGAAGTGCTCTTGATACTGTTTGATGATCTAGGCATTTATTCAGGTAAAGCAGATGGAGAGTATTAGATTGGGCTCAGCTCAAACATAATTGGGGTATAAGAAGGATTTGTATTTTGTTTTGTTTCTGTTTATTGTATAAATTTGAAATCGTGGCCCAAGAGGTATTTTTTAGGAAATCTAGTGAAAGAAGCTCAGTATGAGTCTTAAAAATTACCTCCCAGAGGTCCTAGGCCTCACCAGTCAACTTGGATGTTGGGATGAGAAACGGCCCTTTGTTTCCCCTGAGTTCAGGAAGAGTTAAATTTTAAATTAAGCAATAGTTGTGAAATGCATAGAGAAGTGTTTAATCTGCATTTGCTCAGAGAAGTTTTACAAACTTCCTGTAGGGCAAGCATATTTGATGGGACAATACCCTGCTTCTTTTTAACACTGTAAGTGACTTTTTAAAGTATTTCACATTTAGTTAAAGAAAAAGAAAATTATTAAATAGATTTCTTAGCGCCTGATAAAGTTCATTCCATACAGGCAATTTGACCTGTACTTTTAACCCATCATTGTTTTTCCTAGTGCTGCTACTTAGAAAACAAAGTCAAAAAAATTGAATTATTTACATATTAACAAGATATGTTCCAGACATTAAAAAAAAAAAAAAAAAAGAGGAAGACAGAATAGTCCTAGTTCCTTTTCCTCTTGTATTTATAATCATTTTTTTCACCTTCTCTTGCTGGCATATTTTGTAGGTTTACTTGTTTTCAACCTTTTTTCTTTCTTTTTGATCACTGACCCTTTTACAAATTTTGTAATAACTCTGGACTCCTCCCCAAATTAATGCATATGTGCCTTTCCAATACACACAAATTTGGAAACGCCTTTATGAAGTTCACAAATCTCAAAAGGCAATTTATATTGCATTGAAAGGGAATATTTATTAGAACTTTGAAGTTTTCTGATGACATAAAATAATTATTTAACGAATCATTTCGCTTATAAGCAAGGAACTGTCTAAAGATGGATACCGCAGTATTGGTATTGTTGCTTCTTCACCCGTATTATGGGATGTCAAGCATCTTGGTGCAACAGGAAGACTACTTGTCTAGAAACCATGTGACCCAGGTTCTAGATTCAACCCTGAGAATAATCAGCCATATAATATCAGACTTGTCATTTTATTGTAACATCTGTTATTTTTTATTGCTTGAATAGTAAATGGAATTAGATACATCTATATCTTCTACTTTTTCCCCAAATTCCTAATGGTATGTCCCAAAGTGATAATGCTTTATAATATTATTGTTTATTACAAAGATAAATCATGCTTACTGTTTCCATTTTGTTAAATATAAAAAATTACATAGAAAAAAAGAAAAAGTTACCTATAATGCTCCATGAGGTCACTACTTTTAAAATGTCACTCATCCATCTATTCAGCCAATGAATATTTATTGAGTACCCAGTGTGCATCAGCATGGATACAAAGAATTCCTGTATTTACATCTATGCTTCTATACCTTTTTTTTCTCAATATATACTTATGTGTAGATTTACAAAGTTGCGATCACACTGTACATGCTATTTTCTATGATGCTTCTCCCTCATTCATATTTTCTGTTGAACATAATTTTGAATAATAGTACTTTTTTGATTCATTCATATTTTAAATATTATTGAGTTCCTAGTATGTGTCAGGCACTATGCAGTTGATGGCTGTTTATCCATATGAGCTAAAAAGGTTCTCACCATATGCAGCTTTAAGTTTGTGAATATGTTTAACTGACCAGTCATAATTTGTTGAATATTTAGGTGGTTAAAATTTTCCAGGATTATAGATAATATTTAATCTAGAACCCTTGTATATTTTGTACACTTCTTTGTACACATTCTTAGGATAGATTCTTCAATCTATTAAATTTTCCAGCTTCTAACAAAAATCCTACTACTTACAATTGTGACAGCATGAGCCAAATTTCTTTAGCTCATTCCCATGTGGGTTTCTCAACTGTAAAATAGAAATAATAATAATTGAGTATTTTGAGGATTCTTAAAATGTTCAGCAAAATGTCAGAGAATGCTAGTTGTAATTTTTGACATTTTTCTTTGAGAAAGATTGTATCCATTTGGAAGCTGTATGAGAGAGGAGAGTTACCCTGGGTCCACGCTGGGTGTTACCACCAAACAGTACATAAAACAGGTATTGTTCTAGTCTTTGGACACCATTACCTGCCCAAGGTAAAAATGGAATGCACTATATTTTTTGCGGGTTTTGTTATGCAAGTCTCAGTTTTCTTATTCTCTGGGTTTTTAATCCACCCTTATAACATTTTTTGAAACTATAGTTTACCTCCCCCTTTATACCAACATAAACACAAATAATTGAATGCTCCACTATCAGCAGTTTTGTAAAGCTACACACCTACCAGTCTAATTACTCTTTTAGATTAATTCAATTATCTTTAGAAAGACTCAGTGATCTATATCAGAGTTCAGCCAAAACTGGGTCAAAGATGATAGGCCAGATGGCACTCATTTTGCTTGCCATGGCCCATATAGCTGTGAATCAGTTGCTCCTTCATCCTCAGTCTTCCTTCTCATTTTCTTGACTTTTGGAGTTGGCAGGGAAATTTAGGTATTTTAGGGAACAGCATGTTTTGAGATAGAAAACAAGTGTTCATAATATGTGTAATTTTGATATTCTTTGTGTGTGTGTGTGTGTATGTGTGTGTGTGTGTGTATGGTGTTAGGGATTGAAACCAGAGGTAGTCTACCACTGAACTTCATCCCCATCCCTTTTTTATTTTTCATTTTGAGACAAAGTTTTGCTAAATTGCCAGCCTGGCCTCGAACTTGTGATCCTCCAGCCTCACCCTCCTGAGTAGCTGGGATTATAGGTGTGTAATATCATACCTGCCTTCAGTTTTCTTCTGTAGTATAGAAAGCTCATGTATTTGCAAGACCCAGCTTATACTTGCTTAGTTTATCATTTTTGTCATTATTTATTGCCTATTTCCTGATTATCTAGTTTGAAAAAATGTATCAGAAGGCCACTAATACCTTCCATTTACATAGCACTCTATAACTGATAAAAGAACTGCTTATTCATCCCTTCCCACATTCATTCCTACAATAACTAGATGAGTTAGCAGAACATTTGTTACGATGTACATTTTATAGATGTGAAAGGAGAAATGTTAAAAAATCAAGCGCCTTTTTATTTGTCCAAGTCTTAGGATTTTTATTTTGATGTACTTTACATGTTGCAATTGATTAATTGGCTGGTTTGTATTCTGAGTTTTATAAATATTATTTGATGTTGTCAGCATCTTCCTATTATGGTTAACATCAAAAAAATTATAAGGAAGGGTGCAGAAAGTACACTGTCTGAAAGCATGTTTCCATAATAACTCCATTGTTCTGCACTTATAACTTGGTTACTGATTGACGTGATAGAGGAAGTTGCAGTACATGATTTGTAATTTTGTTTTTTGAAACTCCATAGAAGTTTTTTACAGGTCTATATTTTAAAGAAAATAAAAAATAAGACATTTTATCAAAACTACATATGTAGCTGAAGTCATAATCTTAGACCTCAAATAGAAAACACCAGGGCATTTCTGTAATTTATGGCATGGTAGTCTACTTTTAATGTAAAATCGTAAAACATGTTCAGATAATTACTTCAAAGTCCTATTATAGTGATTCTTAGAAGTTGCTACTAATGCATTTTAGGACAGTTTGGTACAGCAAAATTTCTAATTTGAAAAGTTACTTGGTTAATTAAAGATTTAATTGCAAAGCTATTATGCTTATTTGTAATCTGTTACTTTGTATTTATTCCTGAGCTGGCAACAAGCAGGAATTTTTATTTGAAATACATAAAAATTCACAATATTTACATGAAAATTTTCCCATCTTTATAATTATCTGCAATGATGCATCTGTTGTCAATGAAAAATGATGGAAGAATCAGTTTTCTAAGATTTGTTGTTGTAGGAATTCTTACTATTTAAATTATCTTTCAGATTGTCAAATTATTTGGCTGATTAATACCTTATGCACTAATATGAGGTATTAACATACCTTATGATATAGCATATACTTACTAAAATAAGGCAATAATACTTATTCACAAAGTGTTAATATTAATTATTAATGTTAATACCATCTGTATTTATGTATATTAATAATGAGTTAATCCATGTTAATTATGAAGGAATTACTTAACATACAGTGCTTTTTATATTATTTTTTTTGGTACTGGGGATTGAATTCAGGGGTGTTCTACCACTTAGCTACATCCCCTGTCTTTATTTTTTTTAAATTTTTGGAAAGGGTCTTGCTAAGTTGCTGAGGCTGCCTTTGAACTTACGATCCTCCTGTTTTAGCCTCCTGAGTAACTGGGATTATAGATGCGTGACAATGGCCCAGTATATCTTAT